TAACGTTTATAAGAGATAGCCCTGGAAATTTAACTAAGAGTACCATTAACAATTCTATCCTTTGTTTCGTGACAAATCAAGTTGATTTGTTAAATTTGTTACAAAAACCCAATTTTGTCACTTTTTGTCTTATATTTCTGTACTTGTTATAATAATAATCTAAACACTCATTCGTACTAACAAAGATTTATGCAACTCAACATGGTTTTAGATAAAACAAAAATGAGAGGAGGGAAACTTAAGAATTTTGTAAATACTTTAACAAAGATTAATACCAAAGTTTCAAATAAAAAGGGTGGGAGGGGGGTACCAGCTGCTCGTTGGATCTATGCTCCATCCGCCCTAGACACTTGTCGAGTATATTGAATTATCCAATCAAGTTAATTTTTAACAATAATTATTAGAGACCTTAATCCGGTAGTTAATGTTAATGGAGGCAGTGATTCACATATTGTTGAGAATGAATCTCACATTGATGAGAGAAGTGACCTCACATGTACTTATAAGTAATTGAGCTACTTTTATCTTGTCAATTAGTTTTACGGTGATGGAGCCTTAACTTGTTTCATGATATCATAGCAAGGTTGTCCCACGTTTGAAGCCCATTGGTCACACGTGCTCCAAGTCACCCGAGTTGTGTTATCCACGCGTTAGAATTGAAAATTCACCACATGTGAGGGGACGTGCTGAGAATGAATTAATCTCACATTGATGAGAGAATGGATCTAGCATCTACTTATAAATAGTTAAGCTACTCTTCATATTGCCAATTAATTATATGATGAATTTCTCGATCAGAGTTATTTATGGAAGATATGGTAAGGTATGGAGTCATCAATGTCATCAATATCATCTCCATCAACTTGAAGCAATAACCCCATATGCAGTATAATCCGTGATCTGGTGTGTGAAGCTGGCAAGTCATAAGTGCCGGGCTCACTATGCAGCATTTATTTATCCATGCCGGACTGGATTAGACTATTAGGTAAAGTCATAAGTATTATGGGCCTCACCTCTCGTATAATATTAATAGCCCTTTTATTTATTTTATTTCTGCACAATTTTTATTTCATTTTTTTTCTCAGAATACAACGATGGGGACTTAGACTAAGTTACATAATAGGTCAAATATAATAATTTTTTTTTAGGATACAAAACGATGTATGCAATGTTCCTCTGGTTTAAGCATGATGGTAATTTACCGTAACTTTAAGTGTATCGAAATATTAATAACGCAGATGAAGGTGATAAAATTATTTCTTTAAATCTCACCTATTCATTTCATATGCACGTAATAAAATGTAATAATTATAATTTTTCTAGTATCTGATTTTATAGAAATAGTATTTGGCTCCTTACATATTACTTGTGTTCGTTTAATCTTTAAATCATTCATTAAAGCGAATGAAGCGAAAGTTGTTGCATAGTACTGATGACGAAGTGCCGAGACCAGCATTCAAGTGGGAAAGATCGCACCAACATGTGGAAGGTAGAAATCTCCATTATAGCATTTAAAGTGGGACGATAGGGTTGGAAACCTGTCACGTTCGCAACAATTAAAAGCAGTCCTTTTTCACGTACAGATTTGGATGAGAAGAGGAGAAGGGAGCCTGAAATGAAAATAAAGTGTCTTGATTTATCATTTACAACTTCCTAGTTTGATTAAAATTGGAAAGTGTTATTCACACATTTATTTTTATTTCTTATATACACTTGTTAAATTTTTTATTATTGATCTTCTTAAATTCATGCAATCACGTGAAAATATCCCACATCGACTGTATTTTTGAGAAAATAAGAGTTTAAATATCCTAACACCACTCCAACGTTACCAAGGCATTTTGTGATAAAACCTCACACTTGACGGATTGTGCAGGTAGTAATTTCCAAGTTGGAGACAACACCGATGTTATTGTGTTATTGGAAGTGAGTCTTTAGCCTGTCTCTGTGATAATTCTGCATGGTATTAGAGCCAGGAAGCAGGCTCGTACTATACTATCACGTGATGGGACCCCACGTGATGTGTGGGTCCCCTTAGCCCCCAACGATGATTGTGGGTCATTTGACCTCGCAAGTAGGGCGAGTCTCCTTCAAATCCACATGGTTGTCGATGTGTGGACCTTCTATGTGTGAATGTGAAGGGGCGGGTTAAAATATCATACATCGACCGTATCTCTTAGAAAATAAGAGTTTAAATATCCTAACCTCACTCCCACTAATACCGAAAACTTTTGTGATAAAACCTCACACCCGACATATTGGGCATGTGGTAATTACTAACTCGGGGACAATATCGATATTGTTGGAAGTAGGTATTTGGTATGTCTCTCTGATAATTCTACAGATCCCAACTCAAAATAAATAAGTGTGTGTGAGAAGTAAAATGAACATCTAAATATCACTACCCTATCTTATGTATTGTATACCCTATATCTATGGTAGCTAATTTTTTGTGTTAACCATATATGAATGGTCGATATTGTTCTTTAAACATTCAGTAATTTGAAATGGCAAAATAGTAATTAAGTTACCACAAATTCTCTTTCATTATACTACGAAAACATAGTCCTCTTATCCAGTTTCCAAAAAAAAAAAAAAATGTAGTCCTCTCATATTTTGCAATGTCTTCAATCATCTGAAGGTAGTTAAGTGATGAATTATCTTGGTGGTTAGGCTTTTCTCTTTAATTCATTGTGCTCGGGTTCAAACTCTCTCCTTCCTCTTAACGTAGCTAGCATTGGATCCACGTGGTTTAATAATGACTTTTTATTTGAGCTAAATATGTTTTACACCATCAATGTTTCGAGTAAGTTTTAAAATCAGCCATGAAATTTTAATTTTTGCCCATTACACCATATTCTTCTGAAAAATTTCAAATGTATACCCTTTGTTAGGATGATTATATGGTCGATTATTAACAATCAAAACATGACTTGTCCTCCAAAGTTCCAAACCCGCTAACCAAAATACAAAAAACAACTCGAGGACATTTTAGGTTAACTCCGCACTTTCAAGTCATTAGTTAATCTTAAATTTCAGGTAGACGGACCACGGGCCTACTTCAACAAGACCGATACTGTCCCTACTTGACCACCTGCTTAATTCGTTAAGTATGGGGTTTTAATGCAAAAAGCCTCGGTGTTAGTTAGAGTGAGGTAATTCTATTTAAATGGATTGTTCTCAAGCCTTATGGCCGATGTGGGACATAAGAATTCTAACACTTTCCCACACGTGAAACCCCATTTTATGGGTCACACGTGGAGTTCCACACATCGGCAATCACATGGAGCCAAGCTGAGGCTCACCCATTTGCGCGGGCCAATGAGGACCCGCCCATTCACGTGGTATCTCTTGGCCTACGTGGAGCCAAGTCGAGGCTCATCTATTCGTGGGGGCCAATAGGGACCCACCTGTTCACGTGGATGTACAGGCCCGTCCCCTAGCTTTGATACCATCTTAAATTTCAGGTAAACGGGCCATGGGCCCACTCCAACAACACCGATACTGTCCCCACTAGACCACTTGCTCAATCTATCAGGTGTGAGGTTTTAATACAAAAGGTCTCGGTATTAGTTATAATAGGGTAATTCTATTTAAATGGTTTGTTCTCAAGCCTTCTAGCCGATGTGGGACAATGGAATTCTAATAGTTTATAGCGGCTTGACCTATCAAAAAGTATAAGGCCTTGTTTGACATGTCGTATAAGACAATCGAATGGTACTAATAATACAAAACTGGTGTTTGATAAGTTTGGTATTAAATAAGCACCGAATTATTTAATCCAGCTCCACCATTTTAATACCCCTCCCACCCGCTTCATTATCCCTTCTGCAACCTTGGTATTATTAGTTAGACTCATGGCAAAGAAAAATCACACTTGCCTTTCCCAAACCTATCCTGCCATCAGCTCTTGCGACCTCCGTTTCTGGGCATCATAATTCGAATATTTGGGTTTGTGGTTTAATTGCTAATTGATTTTGTTGGTGTGTGGAGATTAAATTCAAAACCTAGACCCGAGAACCTCACTCATGGAAACCTACCGTCGCACCTGCTGCTTGACACCATCCAACCACGCTGGTGTAATGGTTGCTCGATTCTTTTTGCATTTGACAACTTTTTTTTTTTTTTTTTATTCTTTTTCCTTTTCATTAATGATTAATTTTTTTTCTCTTAAAAAAATAATATTTCTAAGTTCTCTTATCCGATACAGTACAAACACAGTATAAATAATACAACTATTAGCTAGATACTGTACCAAATGCCTGATTAATTAGTCAGTACTATCCGATAACAAATTATCCTATCCAACTGAAATAATCAGTACAATCCGGACTGACAAACAATACTTAAATCGACTAAATCTCAAATTATTGGAATGTAATTTTTAAAATAAAAAAGAATTAGAACCTCCAGACCCATTTTAAAATTGACTCCAAACCAACCATCTCTGGGTGGAAAGTGTTTCGGCCTTTTCCTTGCTCAGTGATCAAATTGGTGATCTCTGTTGATTAAAGGAAAAATGGTATTCTTGGTCAGGCCCGTTTGATCCAAATAACCGGGCTAGCCCAATATGCCCTGTTAACGGTGTTGGGTTGGGCGGGCGCAAGAATGAAATTTGCTGTAGTAAATGATTTATTTTGGACAATGAGAAATGATGTGTGTGCTATCCACACATTTTTTTTAACTTCTTTTATCCACCTTGTTGACTTTTGTCATCTTTTTTCATTCATCTAATTCGACATTCGAAAATTAGAAGGGTGTGTGAAAAGTAAAAAAAAAGTGTAGATATCACACTCTATAACAATATTTATTTTAATACCAATTTAAATCATTTATGATGTGAGTGGTGGTATTCATATATTTATTTTCATCTCTCACACACTCATCTCAACTTTCAACTGTTAGAGTCGTTGAATCGGATAGATTGAAAAAGATCAATGATAAGATTAACAAGAGTGGATAACGCTACCTTCTGATATTTGTTGTTAATTAGCAAAAGAGAACATAAATACAGAATTCATTAATAAGAGAAAATACAATGCAAACAACTAATTAAATACATAAAAACATAATAAAACTTAGTTCAAGTGCTTTTTTATTTTTGCAAGTCTGCTATTTTGCACGTGAAATCATCTCAGCACACACGAATATCTCTCTGCGCACCCCTACTTCAGACCCTCGATCTTGATCTGACGGACGGTAACGGGCCGTTTGATATTCTTAGGCACCAAGGTAACCTTAATGCTGTCGTCGCCGTCAGCGCCCAAGTCCTCCAGCAAGTCCGTTATCCCAAGGCGGAGGCTCGTCCTCACCTCCTTCCGCTTGTGCGGCAAATACACGAAGCTCCCGGCGAACTCGGCCTTGTCGGGTCGACTCAGCGCGTCCTCGTCGTCGTTCACGTGAACGTCGAACTTCACGGTGTCGCCCGCTACGAACTCGATCCCCTGAATCGCCAGCACCTCCTCTTCCTCTTCCTTTTCCGCCTTGGTCCTCGACTTCTTTGGCCGCGGCACGTTCACGCTGATAACCGAGTCCAGAGTGATCGGGAACTCACTGAGTTCGACGACCCTGTTTGGAGTAGTCTCGGCGGCCGCCGATTCACCGGAATTCCCTGTGATTTCGCTCATCTTTGATCCGCCGTATATTGCTAGCCCTCCGATGAGAAGGTCTCGCCTTGCAAATTGTGGGTTGTTTGACGACGCTTTGGATGCAAAGGAAGGATTGGGATTTCGAAGGAAGGAAATTTGGGAGTGGGTTTTGGAGATGGGGGAGATTGAAGAAGTGGGTCGGCTAGGAATTGGTGTGGAATGCAGGGGCAGTGAGAAAGAAGCCATGGATGATAGCTTGGTTTTAATAATTAATTGTTTTCGCCGACCAAGTGTTTGTAGAAACGTTTGACTAGTTGATGTCGGTAATGGATAGAAAACTGAAATACTTAAAATGGCATCTTTGGTCACTCGTCACGATATTGTTAATTAATTGAATACTTTGCTTATGTCGGTATTGGGGTTTATATAAACTGCAGATATTTTAGAAATAATTCATTGGAACTTTGCGTGCACATAATGTAGTGAAATTATACGTTTATTCGTGCATATGTATATGGATTTTTAACTATCTATGTTTGTGAGACTTACGAGTTATAAAGGGTTAAAATTAGTTTATTTGTGCATACACGTGGATACTATCCATAATACAGAACTCCAATTCTAGATTGTCCAAATCAACACACTAGTGTGTGTCTGACCATTCAAGCTTGTCACTCACAATCAGCGTATTTATGTGTGTGAACTGTTTCTGACTATTCATACTTGTGATTTATGAAAGACACAAATCATAAACATAAAAAAAAAATAGTTATGCACTAATTTTAATCATTCATGCTTGTGAAATCCATAAATTATAAGCAACGAAATCAACATTTATGTGTGCGGGCTAATTTTGACTATTTATATGAAACTTGTAAGTTAATAATTGTTGAAATCAATCTAATAATACGTACATGTGCGATTGATCTTACCACACATTCATAATTAATTTTTTATGTATGGACTGAAAGAATCTCTTGTTTTGTGGCGAGTGGCAACTTCTGAACCACTTATTTGTTGCTTTTAGGTTTCTAGCTTTCTCATTCTGTGATGAAGAGCGAGGACACTCACCAAATCCCACAACAGGAAGCAACGTAAGCCTTCACCGCCACCTTTTTTCTAGACTTAAGAACTTTGTGTTACTTTTTACTCTTTAATGCGTATTAGTATTAATTAATAACGTGACGCATGTGAGTTAAGCATGTAAGTAACGTGTGATAAACTTAAGGAAATTTGGGAGTGAGTTTGAGAGATAGAGAGATTTTTAGTGTGACGGAAATATAGGATAATACATTATATGTTATTATACAAATGATGAAAGATATATGTTAAAAAAATAATAATCAATTATATAAAATATTTTGTGTCTCATTCATGTTCCGAACATAATAAAAAATTTAGGAGGGATTGAAGAAGTGGATCGGTTAGGAATTGGGGTGGAATGCAGGAGCAGTTAAGTGGAAACCCTGGCAGAAAGATTGGTTTTAATACTTAATTTGTCTCGCCGACCAGAAATGTTTGACTAGTCGCCTAGTTGGTGTCGGTAACGTTAACAGAAAAGGAAACAAAGATTACTTAGCTGCAAGGACGAAGAGAGGACTTCTTTTTACATGATTGTGTACTGCTTCCCAACATAATTCAAACTTTCTTGTGGCAACTTCTAGCCCACTAACTGTTGACTAAGTTTCTAGTCTTTTCTCATATTGAAACGAATGATCTGAACAGTGAATTAATGTAATTGTAATGATCTCATTTCTAATTTTTTTTATTAACCGTTCTTACGTCTTATAAGTGATGATGAAAATCACATTCTACGTGCTACTCTAGTGTTCATGGATCCAATGAACACGAGGAAATTCATTTCCTTGTCCGAGCAACCTCTGGCCCCCAAAGCATGCAACTTCTCTTTGAGCTTCCTCCCTTGTTCTCAAGGTCCTGTCAAGTCACAAGATTATGAACCAGTTGTGGTAGGAGTATATTATGACTTAGTTTTATGTTGCGCAACCATGTATCGTCAATGTGATTGCTATATACATTTGCAATCCATACGCTAAGCTGTGGGATGCTCTTCCTCCCCCTTCTCAGTGTCACGAGGAAATATGTGTAGGATTCATCTGTGAAAATAAGGAATGCAAGGAAGAAGACAAGCCGAATAAAAGAAGAAAGTGGTGGTAGTAGCGGTAGTTAAACATTATTCCAGTTTAATGTTGAGTATAGGTACAAGCTTCTGCGGATTTTTTTTCTCAATTTCTAAGACTCCTTCCAGTTCAAAGCAGAGATCTTCTCTTCTGAACTCGTAAACGGACAAGCATGAAGCTTTTGTTTTGATAGCTTGACTCTCGAAGCAGGGGTTGCTTACAAAGGAAAGTTGTACTGGGGAAGCATGTACGGTGGACATATATGGGGCTGGATCCCAACTCCATTAGTGATAACACATCAAGCATCACAAGTAATACCACTGGTGATACGAATGTCAATTGTCGCTTCATTGATATGCCTAAACATGATCAGTTCACTTACACAGCTACAACATTTGAATTCCTAGGTGTGTGTAACAGAGCTAGATGAGGTACGTGTTTGCGAATGTGCCAGTTAGCTCAGAATTGAGGGAATGATCTGACTGTTTGGGAGTTGAAAGATGATGATCAGGTTGACAACTCTGCAGGCAAATGGTGTTTGGCAAGCAGCGCTTCGGTATCCAGAATGGTTGTGCGAAACGCATTGATCAACAAAGTGGGGGTGCTTGCTTTCGACCCAAATAATGAAGATATCTTGTATCTAGACCTCAGTGCACACATTGTCATGTGCAACATTCGTGCAAGAAAGGCGTTCTGGCTATGGAAGTTTCGATCTTCCCACAAATATTTTAATGGTGTTGATAGCGTGTCACGTCATGGTAACCGATCGTCAACTGCTTTCGGTATCCAGAATGGTTGTGCGAAATGCATTGATCAACAAAGTAGGGGTGCTTGCTTTCGACCCAAATAATGAAGATGTCTTGTATCTGTAAGAGTAAACATAGACTTTATGTTAATATACTTAGCCAAGAACACAAGAATTTACCAACTAAATCACAACCAACACATCAAATATGTTTTACATATGCAGATACTGAAGTAATATCTGCAACACATACCTGCAGACTGTTTCACGAAGTCTTTCCCATGTGTGCTGTCAGAAGACAGTAGATGGTGCTATTCCATTAAGCCAACAGGACAAGGGGTTTTCGAGATGCATCATCTTGGGCTTGAAAAACCAATAGAACAAGGCCTTCCCCGAATTGGGAAGTCGGACGTAGCCGGCAATTAAGGATGGTTTTGATGGAGACGAGCCTTGAGAGAATGGCCATGACTGCACCCTCTGGAAGTTGTTGAATTCTGAAAGGACCTCTGGGTTGCTGCCATTCTTCTTTCGTACGGCCGATCGCTGCTCTTTTAATTGCTACTCTCTTTCTTAGCTTGAATAACTTCTTCATGTTTCGCGGCATTGATCACAGGAAAGAGTAGTACTAGACACCATATCATAACTATGTTCAACAGATTAGGATTAAAAGCCTTTGGAGAAATCCACACACAACCTTCTCATCTCTGCAAAACTCAATGCTCTCCAAGTTATCGGTAATTGGAACAATAAAAGCGTGTTTTTGTGAGAGCAGGGCTTGTGGTTTTATACTACAAATCTGGATTACCCTATAATAATCCTACAAGGAATACAAGAACAAATCCTTGTACGAGTTCTATTCTTAAGCTTATCAACACATAGTGTCAATCCAAACCAAAGTCGAATTAACTCTCATAAACATATTAAGACTTCTTTATAGCAATCTGAGACAACAAGGATTATTACCAAACCGTATGAATCACACTCATACTCTAACAGTATCTAGACCTTAGTGCACACATTGTCATGTGCAACATTCGTGCAAGAAAGGCAAGGAAGACTAGTAGGATCACTCCGGTTAATTATGCTGCAATTAGTAACTCCGTGATGGCTGTCTTCCCATACATGCTTTCATGGTGGCCGACACCAGTTACTAGACTCAAACCAGGCTCTAGCACTTCAAATCATGTTGCGGAAGCAGGTAAGAAGAGGAAAGCCAATGACGAAGACACAAAGTGGACAACAAGCAAAGCACAGCAGCAGATTTGTTTATGAGAGCAAGGTACAACTTTCATGCGGACAAATTATTCAAAAGTGGCGCGTTTAGCAGTACTGCTAGCAGTACTATAAAAGGTGGAGGAGAGCAAAAGAGGAGGCCGCACGACGTAAAGGTAGTTCAGCCGGCAGCCCGCAGCCGGCATGGCTACTTGGTCTGAAATTCTGAATCTGGATGATCGATATAGTAGGTATACTACAGTATTTTGATTCTTGATCATCTTCCACAATGTTACGCTACTTACACGAATAATTTACAATAATTTACAAGTGAAGCAAGAAAATTATTGGCATAATGAATACTCATGTTTACCTATATATCAACAAATCAAGATGTATTCAATCCGTGCTCAGTTACAAACTGTTAGAAAAGTTGGAACGGAAATTATAAAATAAAAAACAAAAAACGACCCCATGGTTTATCATATGCGCTCTTAATTATCTAGGCAAAATAGTCGATCTTGATCCGACCAATGATGACAGGCCGCTGGACATTCCTTGGCACCAAAGTTACCTTAATACTGCCATCGTCGTCAGCTCCCAAGTCCTCCAACAAGTCCGTAATCCCAAGATGCAGGCTGGTTTTAACCTTCTCCTGGAACTGTGGCAAGTACACCAAGCTCCCTGCAAACTCGGACTTGTCGGGTAGACTCAGCGAGATCTCGTCCTCGTTCCCATGCACGTCGAACTTGAGAGCCTTATCCGCCACATACTCAATCCCTTCAATCACCAACAGCTCCTCTTCCTCCTCCTTGTCTCACCACCGAGTCCAAAGCTATTGGCAACTTACTACTCTCAACCAAAACTACCTATTGAACAAATGTAGTGCATAATTGCTATATTTTAATCACACACATGATTCAACAAACTAAAAATATGCAATTTAATTAATGCCCATGAGAAAAACAATGTTGAATAATATAACAAAATAGGTTAGAGAAACATGAAAAAAGTTAGAGGCAAATGTTTGACATTTGTTCTTAAGACATTTCACCATCTTCTTTGACACCTCTGCCGCATTTGCTGGCCCTGTTTTGTTATGACTCTCCAAGGCAAGTCCTCCTAGACCAAGGAGAAAGATTTCTCCTATACAATTTTACTCGACAAGTTTGCGGATCACGATTAGGGTTTTGGTCACTATTGATTGTTGTTGCTTTCATGAACCTCTAAGATTTCTAACTACGGAAATCTGGGATTTGTTTGCGAAGATGTGAGGGATTGAAGGGGTGGTGGAGTAGGTGGTAATCATGGTGTTGGAGGATATAGTGGTGGAGGAGAAGCCACAACTTTGTTTCCATTTTGTCAAGAGCTATGTATCCAGATTCATTTCCATTAAATCTACCTAGTTTACAAACTCGGATAGTTGAATTTTAATTAAACTGTTACAATTATTATAACTTTTAAATGTCCATCTTGTTTGTAACTGTTAGATTAAAATTCAACTGCTAAGTCTTAAAGTAGTGAATTTAGTGGAAAAAGGTATGTATAAACAATCGACGTCATTTGGAGTGACTGATTACATTTGCAGCCACACGTTCTATGTTACCATGCTTTAGTCAAGATAAGGACGAGACTTTTATAACAGGCCCTACACTTGTCAAAATCACACCCACTTCAATGATTCATTTACTTTGTGTACAGCACTCTTGCTATGTTAATATGTTCGCTTAAGACATGTAACGGTGGCCTCTTGCATTCGAGTCTTACATGAGCCGAATTTGGTGGATCATAATGTATTGATTTTCTTCGTATTTATCTTTGATGGACGAGTAAAGTTACACGTACGATTATACCAGAAGATTTCTACTTCTTTAGGCTATGGTTTGTAAAAACTTGCATCCTCTAAATTGCTTAATCACTTGTTTTGAACTATTTTTCTAGCAATTAAAAGCATATTATAGCCGTGTTTAAGACGAAATCTAAAAGTGATCTTATATATATAAACCGACCCTAGCTCATACCAGCAAATTGGGCAGATATAAAAAGTTTGAGGTGCCCCAATTTTTAATGGAGTAGGATTCTCTTTCCTCTTTTTTCCCTCCTCTTTTCTCTCCTCTTATTTGAACGGTCACAGTTAAGCCACGTCAACATCTTATATTAATTTTTTATAGAAAGAGAAAAATGAAATAAAGAATGTGAGAGAAAGAGATGAAAGATGATGAAAAGAAAAGGGAGAGAATCCTAATTCATTTTTAACATGATTATGTTTCATCAAAGTTATGCTGCCCCAACTCTTCTGTGGAAAGTATTCAGTTTGTTGAATCTTGATGCAAACGCGATTTCATTTGTTGCCATTTTGTTCTTTTATTTTCCCACTCGTACTACATTGCACTGCACGACAATTTGTACTACATCTTGCGCGTATACCTGTACTAAATTCCAGTACTCCAACAACCTGGCTTATTTTCCTGTACTGGATTTTGGTACTCGAACCTTGGTTATTATTGATTCAGAAATATATATACGTGTGTGTATATGGATCATCAGTATATGGATAGTTGCAGCAGAAATCTTTCAGTTTAACAGGAGAATCACACAGACGCTCCTCTACTTCAACTTCAAGTAAGTTTTGCAATCTCTCTTTTCACCCTCTTGTTTTCTCATTCTTCACGCAATTCGATCCTTGTTTGATTTACTCAATTCAATTTCTAAAAAAAAAGAGAGTAGTGCATAAGAGAAAAGTTCACACTCCCGTTTTCTCCTTATGTATGCACTTTTTTGTTTCCGTCATATGATTCTTCTTTGATTATATATGAAACTATTGCCGTCGTTAATTTGAGCATTTGTGGTCAGGAATTGGAGGCGATGCAGTCCATTCTTATGGAGTGAGTTCATCTTTACTGTTCGATCTAATGAATCTATATGAATTTATGGCATCCACAATTGGCACCAAATTCATCACCAGAGTGCTACCTTTCTCACCTTCAGCTTCGAAGTCTTCCAACAAGTCCCTTGTCCTTGACCTCATGCTACTACTTCGATCTCGTTTCTTTTGTTAGTTATATGCAGGCCATGCATAAACAAAACCGGGCCGGCCATTTTTCATACCTTGGCACCAAAGTCACCACCCGACTGTTATCGTATTCAATTCATCCTCCAACAAGTCCGTGATCTCTATGCGCAATCTCTTAATTTATGATAAAATCAACAAAGAAATGCTATGAAAAGAAAGTAGTTTGCGGATAGAGATAACGAACTTGTCGTAGGATGAGCTGAAGATGATAACAGTCTGGTGGTTACTTTGGTGCCAAGGCATACAAGATGGTCACCTTATTTTACTTTTTTTCAAAAATCAAAGATCTTATGTAACAAATTAACTAAAAATGCAAATAGTTGATTTATTTACTCACTTTCTAATGTTCCTCTGATATATATTGTGAAAAATATTTGTGTGTATATTAAAATGTATCAGCATCATCTTATGGCAACATCAGCCAATAATAAGGTTTTTCAATCGTATAAGAAACCATCTACAATCAAGACAAAGTTGGCAATGATAATGATTTAATCCATAACATTAGGATAACTATCAACGCAATTAAAGGTCTTTGCCAGTTCGCTTGTAACATCTTGTTTTTTTCGAACTAGTAAACGTTGACAGATAGTTTCCATTACAATTGACTTCATGGTAAAAGTAAATGTCAAAATAGATTCAGCTAGCAACCAAATGGACCAGCACATCACTTGTCAAAAAACGATAGTGCTATTCACACTATTTTTTTACTTTTTATACATCTTTGTAATTTTTTGTCATTGATATTTTTTAATTTATTCTGTTTGATGACCGAAATTTAGAAGATATGTGAAAAGTAAAAATAAGTGTTTAGATATAACTACTTATATAATTTAAAAAAAAAAAAAAAAAAAAAAACCTTGCTCTCCGGTCCTACAATTTAGTGTTAAGCGTGATAAGGATTTTGTGATATACTTGGCAATAAAATCTTTTTTATTTAGGAAAACTAATGAAAATGGTTTGAAAACTTTGAGTTTTAACGATAAGGACAAAATAAAAGGTAAAGTAAATAGTACAAGAATTAACTTTTTAGTGTAAAAATATGATTTTTTTATTAAAATAAACAATACTGGTAACTTTTCATTAATGTGCCCTTTTTATTTTGCATTTTTGGTCAAACTAGCAAGATTGCCAAGTACGACAACGTTTTAACGTCGCCGTCCAAACTCAAAGCTAACGTCGAATTGTAAAAGCACAATTCACTTATCAGAAAATCATAAATTATATTATTTTAACAGCATGTCAATTTCTTATTAACTAAAAATATTGATATCCACGCATTATTAACTAAACACGATGAATTTGAGTAGCCGGATTCAAAAGTTTCACCTTTGTAAGAGAATCTAGAATTCCCTTTATTTGCTCGGGAGGGGCGAAGGTTATTAATTTTGGTTTTGTTAATAATATTTGAGCTGCTTTTCACCCTTTACATGTTCTCTTCACCATTAAGTAAATAAATAAAAGTTTAAAAGAAAAAGTCACACTTATAAAATATAAAAGAAGGAAAATGTTATTCACAATTTTAATTTTACTTTTCACATTTTTATTAATCTTTTTTCGGTTTGTTCAATTTGATGGTCGAGAATCGAGAGCTAACGTTTAGATAGCACGGTTAGCATTATCGAAAAAAAGAAAAGACAAAGGTAAAAAAAAAAAGATGAGAAAAACTAATGAAAATGACTTGAAAACTTTGAGTTTTAACGATAAAGACAAAATAAAGGATAAAGTGAATAGTATGATGATTAATTTCTTAGTATAAAAATATGATTTTTCGTTAAAATAAACAATATCGAGAATTTTTCGTTGAAGTTCTTCAAAAAAAGTTCGGCGCTTTTAACTTTTACTTGGAGTAGCGCGTGCCTTTTGTGCGAGTGGGTATCGACTCATGATTTTCAACAACGTTATTTATTTAATCTGTTTGATTGTAACAGCAAACACTTTTTTATCTTCTTTTTCGTGTCTGTCTGTCTGTCTCTGCGATTTGTGTTGGGGTTTTAGACGAAATTCGAGTTCGAGAGAAAGCGAGGGGTTTTGTGGGATGGCTTCAACGCTGCTTTTGGTTGTCGTTTTTGTGTTCGATCTGGTTGCTTTTGCGCTCGCTGTTGCCGCTGAGCAGCGAAGGTCCACTGTAAGTGTGTGTGTGTGTCTCTCTCTCTCTCTTTTTCTCTCCTTTTTGTGAGGACTAATATCATATGATTCTTAACTTAGAGTTCTTCAAGTTTTGATCTTTTTTATTTATATGTACTTTCCACCAATTTTTTTTAGAATTAGAGATTTATGAGAGCAATATATACTTATTTCGCCTTCAGACATAAGTAGTCGATTTATTACTATTTAAAAAAAATTAGTGTGAAATATGAAACAGAGTTTTTAAAGCAAAATAACGATTGATTAGATTTATTAGAAAACCTTACAAAAATCCATAAATTAGTGTGTAAATTTTATTTAATTATTGGTGAGGACATAATTTTTCTGTGGAGATTAAACCAATAATACTGCCTTTGAATGGCTATTTAGTTTGGGTGGTGCTATTAACCCATCAATTTCTACCACTCACCCACCTCTTATTAATTTCTGTCATTTTATCTTTTTCAATTCATTTGATTTAAGGATCGAAAATTAGAAGCCGAGTGGTAAAAGTAAGAAGGATGTGTGGGTAGCACCACCCTTTAGTTTATTATTAGACCGTAGGTTTAATTCTTGGCGTTTTTCAAACGAAAAAGTCCAAACCGTAGGGCGTATTTTCTTTTGTTCAATATTTTGTATGCTGATAAACCACTGTTAGAATACAAAAGTAGGGTCAGCGTATTTTCTTTTGTTCAATATTTTGTATGCTGATAAACCACTGTTAGAATACAAAAGTAGGGTTTATCAGATTTATTAGATGTGAATTTTGCTTGGAAAGGCAACAATTTTCAAGATTGTTAGTCAACATAACATTGATAGATCAAGCAAGATGAGAGGGGTAAACCTGTCTGGCAGGAATTTTGAGTTGACACTTGAGATTCACCCTCAAATTCTTGATATTAAAAATCTCAAAAGCCGAAGGGGAGGGGTGTGTGTGTCACTGACGTTCTACACGAGTCGCAGGGACAGTTCCATTTCTAATTTTTGAATTTGACGTTAACTGGAACGAGGAGGAACACACACTAATAGCTTAAGTTATTAGAATCAGTGGTTTCTTCTACAATTAGATACATTGTTACTTTATCTATTATCTCTCCCTTGCAGGCCAAGGTTCAAACTGAAGCAAATTCGACCTATTGTGTATATGATTCTGACATTGCAACTGGCTTAGGTGTGGGATCATTTCTGTTCTTATTGGCAAGTCAAGCTCTGATAATGGTGGCAAGTCGATGCTTGTGCTGTGGAAGGGCTTTGAGACCCAGCGGTTCTCGATCGTGGGCGATTACGCTCTTCATTACCAGCTGGTATGTGCTCCTCATATAATCCGGGCATTCTCAGATATTATAGTTGTTAACACTGGTTGATTATATAAGGTCAATATCGTGTGTTGTCGAAAGATATGTGCTATTCTTATATTTCAATTTCAGACTTCAGATTGACTGGTTTCACATTGAAAACTTCAGGGTGCTTTTTGTCATTGCTGAGGCATGCCTTCTCGCGGGTTCAGTGAGAAATGCGTACCACACAAAGTACAGTACTTCGTTTATGGACGACCTTTCATGTGAGACATTGAGGAAAGGAATCTTCGGAGCTGGGGCTGCATTTGTCGTCCTCACAGGCATATTCTCGGAGCTGTACTATGTTAGCTATTCCAGGGCTAACGAATCCCCGGCTCCCTATAGCAGAGACGCTGGTGTGAGGATGCAGAACCTTTAGAACCGAAACCAGTTGGAGGGAAGTGAGAGTGATCTTGTATCGTCACATGCAATTGGTTGACTAGTAACTGACGTGCCTATCTTATGAGTATGGACTAACTTAACAGGACATATGATTGAATATTTGAAATGCTCATGATTTATGTATGTTTCGAATATTCGTGATTTATGTATGATATTTGGGGTTTTATGTTTCGTGTAATGTAATTTGAAGTTCAATTACCACGAGGCTTGTTCGGTGGATGGAACTGGATGAGATTGGAATCGAGTCCAAGTCAGTCTCGTAGAGAGTCTCACTCCCTTGGTACATTGGATCGTTGTCCAGTTTAACAAGTCCAGTTCCAGTTCCAGCGTTTATAAGCTCGCCAAACAACGGCCAAGACAATAGCCTGCTAGCCCGCCTAGACGGCTGACGGGTAGCCATAACTGAGTTTCCGTTCTAGATCATTGATCCTGGAAAAGTGCCGCTCCACGCATCCATTTTCCGTTCGAAAATGGGTAGTCCGTTCGTTCCAACCGAGCCCCCAAACTAATATCTGGCATATGTCCGGTGCCTCAGCCCATGCCTCGATTGTTTTGCTTACTCGCTTTACTGCTCTAGCATTGGACTGGTGCTTTTGAGACATCCATCGATTACAATTTGCTTCAAGGTCCTAATTTTTAACTCATGGATCTGAGGAAAACGTAGGCTTGAAGCATCTAAAATATGATTTATTTTTAATAAAAAGAAAACAAAAATGTCTCACAATTGTGGCCCCAAAATGGACATCCTGAATCCCTAGTCTTTAGAACTGGAGTGAGAGGATGAAAATAGGGATTGAGATCATCTCATTCTCTGCAGCCGACAAACTCAACAATTTGGATCATTCAATTTAAATCATGCTGCCCACCTCACACACAAAATCACGCCTTCATTTCTCTCCAACTCTCTCATCTATCTCTCTCTTGAATGGTCTGAATTACAAGATTTAGTGGCTCCAGAGGGTGAGATCCAGAGAGGGTCTCAATCCTGAGAATAGGGCCACTTTGAGACAAGTTGGATTTGGGCTCAATCTAAGAAATTTACGAAGGATCAAATACACAACACTAGAATGGGGAAAATAATATTAAATATGAAATGGGTTGTGAATTTTTCACTTGTTTTCTTCTCGTGTCGTACACTTCTTCCTGTGTTCTTTGATTCTCTTTTAATTCATTTGATCCAGATACAACGCGAAATACTTCACTATAATTAAGAACATTAAAAAACAAGTTGTTAAGAATTTAATTACTTTACAACCCAAAATTTGTCGGGACTAGAACCAGTGGCCATAAAATATGGGGAAACAAATCTGTGCAAACTTATTCAGATGTCCAAATATACATACATATCCACAAGAATCTTCCATCACATTCTTTCAGTGAGCCCTGCTGGTAGTAGGAGTCCCCCATTTCTATCCCTATCACAAACCACTCACCGAAATTCTATAAAATAAAAAATAAACCAATTAATTCTATTCAATTGAACAATGAAACCCTAATATAAACCTCCTTCACATGCATGTAATTGCATCTTCCATCAAGTTAAATAAAAACCAGGAGTGACAAACTTACAAATTAATAAATATATATATTTCAAAAATTAAATATCTCGAAGCTGAAACCGAAGGACAAAGACAGCTTCAAACTGTCTACATCTCTGTTTGGAAATTACAAGTTGAGAGAGCAAACTACGAGAAATTATATTACCTGAAGATCGGCACAAGTAGAAAAACTGTGACAAACTTGACAGTGACACATTAGAGAACGGGGATACTGTTTCTGAGTCGTAAATGTCTCACACACACGCAATTCAAAATTAACATACCGCTAATGAAGATGGCTAATTCATTATTTTACAGTTGTATGTGATCAGAAGAATCATCCCAATGAAGCAGGTTGAGATCAGTAGAAACGAGGGTTTCGATGTCTTCCCAATTCCAGTCGTTCGAGTACACATCCACGGCGTTGCTTGGGGAGGGGGTTTTCCAGTTAGGCTGCTGGGGAAGAATATTTGGCATGATGCTTGTGATGGTTGGCTCCTCTACGGTGGCTTTGAACTGATCTTCAGCGGCAGCGTAGTTATAAACGTTTGAGGATTGCAAAGATGTTGAGATTGAAGAGAGGTTTGTGTCAAAGGAACTTGAAGTAGTAGTACTAATTGAGCTTGAGAAGGGATCAAAGGTTATTAGATTTCTACTTCGATGAAGAAAAGGCAAAGTAGTAGTACTACTTAAACCTGCTGACGAAAATATGATTGTGTTGTCCAAATTCTGTTGCGGAAGCGAAGATTGGGGACCGATAAGTGCGTGATAGAGAGCTTGCGCAGCAGTTTCCCGCTTATGGTGATCATCAATCGCCGCAGTGTTTGCAACGGTTGTGGCAGCTGCTTCTGAGGGAGAAGTGTTTGAGGACTTTTTGAGGCGCTTGTTTTTACGGATGCCACCAACCGGGACGTTTCGAAGAGTCCCGCCTTTTGTCCAGTGCCTCTTGCAAGCTCTGCAGAAGTGCCTTGGCTGTGACTTGTTGTAGTTGTTGTAGTAACAAAACTTTGTGTTCGTTGATTCACATCTCGGACACTTCAATGGCTCAGCTTGCTGCTGCTGATTTTGTTGATGCTGCCTCCTCACGGCGTTTGGTGGTTTTGGCAGCTGAAACGTCTGAGCTTGCAGCAAGCTGGTCTGACTCCAATCCAGCCCGTCACTGTTGACCTGCTTAGTACTCAATCCCATCTCCTCAAACCCTCTCAAAACCCGAAACAACGAATGGATTGCGAGTAACCCGAATGAAGATGAGGATCAAGGAATAAGTGTGTTTGATTTTTCTTCTTCTTCTTCGGGTATTTTTCTAGCCCTTGAAACACGGTCGTCGAAAAGAGAAAGCAGTCTGAATTGAAGTTGACGAGGACGAGACTAAGGTTGCTTATAAGCAAAAGGGTAACGTGTCGGTCGGAGGAAATGAGTGATTGTATGGCTTCAGGTGCAATGAAATGCCTAGGAAACTCATAAGAAGTGAGCACGTCTAAGTTGAGTCTCCTTATCTTAATAATTTTAATATATATATATATATAAATAATAATGATAATTAGTGTAAGAAGAATATTAAGAAATGATGATGGAAGATGAAAGGTTTTGTATGGTCGAGGATGGTTGTAATTGATAGATGTGTGGGGCTTGGCACTGGTGTGTGGTGGCAACCATATAAAAATTGTGCAAACTTAGGTGACAATCAATAGTACCATGCTCTTATTCCTTACTCATCCCTACAAGTTTATAGAATGAAAACATTCAAGTACTAAAGTAAATTAAGAGAAGATACAACGTGGACAAGACAAAGAGAGAGAGAGAATTACTTAACCTCGAAGGTCAAGGGGGGTTGGTGACATGTGGCTACCTTCAACACCACTGATAGTGCTTTATACGTTGGCTATGTAAAAGGAACATATGCAAGAGCAACTTCAGCATGGACTAGTGCTTGGGGGATAGTGGACCAAATAGGGTTGGTAGCCCGGTCTTGAAGCTCTAGCGTGGGTAGCCCGAGGGAAAGTGGAGGCCCGAGCTCTGAGTCCGTGAGGAATTGCCAGCCCGAGAGCCCAAGTGGATGTGACACAAAGGCTAACGTCATCCTGGCATCAGCCTAATTTTATATATTTTTTTCTGTTAGGCTGCGTGGGGGCGCATCAGCCGACAGCTTTTCAGCGTATGGGGCCCGCGTTGCAGTCTGCCGAGGTTACCGTTGGGAAGCCACGTGGCTTCCCACGGTCTGTTTGATCTCAACGGCTCTTTAAATTGGACCGTTCGATTTGCAACGGTAATAAAAATAAAAAAAATCTTATTTAATATCAAACGTTGGATCTGAGATCAACGGTTGATATTATTCTGCTTTATAAATAAATAAATAAAAGAAAAAATAGTTTTAAAATTAAGAAAAGTTACCGTTGTGACACGTGGCACAATCTGAAGTGTTGGAATTCAATTTTTTTTAAATCCAACTGGTAGAGATTAATTAGTTCAATAAAAATTTTAAAAAAATTGTAAACAATCCGAAAAAAAAATCTGAAATTTTTTTTTTAAAAAAATTGTTTTTACTTTTATATAAATACCTTTTTATTATCATCTACCTTACACTACAATTTCATATTTTCTCAACTACTTTCAATCAAATTCCTATCTTTCTCTAAAAGTTTCAATCCAATTTTTTTTTCAACAAAATGACTACTGATGCAGGTACGAATTGGACGCTTCTTGAAGATATTGCGTTGTGTACTCGCTGGGTTGAAGTTACTCATAGTTCGCTTACAGGTAATGAGATACAGTTGCGAGAAATGTGGAGTTTTATTCATACCAATTATCTTAAAAAAATGGATGGGAAAAGAACCAAAGAATCGATGTCCAATCGTTGGAAATTACTTAGCCAATCGTTTAGTACATGGAGAGACGCCTTGGCACAAACTAGTAATAATATTCAAAGTGGGGAAAATTACGCAGATCAGGTAACAATATATTATCTATTTATTTGTATTATTTATTTGTTACCTACTTTCATTATAATTATTTGTTTGTATCTGAAGGTACTCTGCGGTGTAGATAGATTCGATTGCTCCGCAAACTTCATCAGGGACTTAAGAATAGTTGATTTCTCCATCCTCGTTATCTCATCCACTTGGTCTGCAGATGCTCCATATGTAAGCTATCCGCAAGGCAGCAGTAATTTTTTGCTTTGGAAGGAGACCCATAGCACCAAAAGCATCATTCTTTTACACAAAGTAAGAATCATGGTTGCAAACAGCAATCATGATTTTGTTGAACAAATGTCGTTCCATTCTAAAACGACGTCTAAAGTATGTATCAGGGAATGCACTATCATGGACAAAATAATCATCCAAGAGTTCCGTACCTCGTCGTTTTCGGAATGGCTAGGCTTGCAGATCTGACCCATAACTTGGATGACTCGACGGGAATGTGAGGCTCTTGCCATTCTTGCTTCGTCATCTCTCCTTCTACGCTCCTCATAATCTTCCCTCTCATTTTGGGCCACCTGAAGATTGAACATTCCTTCTGATTGGTTAAACAATTCTTCCTCTTGCTGATCGATTTCCTACATCATCCTTGAGGAAGAAGAAGACATTGTAAGAAAGAAACAGAAACTATAAATAATGATAGAGATTTTGGTGAAGAAGGAAGCAGAAACTATGAATAATGATAGAGATCTTGAGAAAATTGATGTGAGATTTGTGAGGATGGATGGGGGATTATATGGAGGATTCAGAAAGGATTAGATTGTAGATAATGTCACGTGGCATGCCGTCATTCGTTAAAAATCTGATAGAAATCTATCCTCAAAGATTGTAAACAAATTATGACACATGACGCGACGTGATTGGTTAATAATCTTATTGGAAATCCATCACCAATAATTGTATTTTCAGATAATAACACATAGTGCAACGAGTTAGGATTAAAAATATTATCGGAAATCCATTACCAATAATTGTATTTTCGGATAATGACACGTAGCGCAACGAGTACGATTAAAAATCTTATCAGAAATCCATCACCAATAATTGTCTTTTCGGATTTTATGACAAGTGGCGCAACGAGAACGATTAAAAATTTTATCTGAAATTACAAATAAAATTAATTTGTATTATTTTATAACTTTTCGGATAATGACACGTGGCTGCAATGAGAAGGATTAAAAATCTTATCCGAAATTACAAATAAAATTATTTTGTATTATTTTATAAATAAAAAAATACTAATATTTTATTGTCTATTGCTAGGGCTATTGAAGTGCAATGGTGGAGATGCAAAAGGCAATTACTGTTCATTAAGGTCATCTACTGTTCACTGGGTGGATAACATAGTGTATTGCCTGGGGGGAGGGTTCCTTCCCACGCTGGAACTGCTTTAAGGTTGAGTGCATTTCTGTTCATCATCTTTAAGTAGTGATAGTATTTATTACTTTATTTATCATCGTTAGTAAGTTTAAATTTTGAGATTTATGTTTATTTAATACGCAAATTTTAAAATTTAAGCTTATCTAATAATGATAAATAAGTTGGTAAATCTTATCATTACTTAAAAGTGGTGAGCAAAAATATTTCCTATTACACAGTTTGTGCAAGCAATGCTGCATATAAGAGTTTTAACAAGAGTCTATAGTAAAATAGAATAATGTATGTGATGCATCGATTTTACAAAGGGCTAGATTAGAATGTTAGGATTAAATCAAGCAAATTCAGCCAATCACTAAAGCACTTGTAAAATTTTGGTTTTAACATTTATGCTTCTTTTGTAGTTTAATTTATCACATTAATATGAGTGACCATAACTAAATGAGGGTATATAGCTCGAAGACGTAGAACAAAAACTTGTTTATATGCATCAACCTTCTGAGGGGCTCATTCAAGAATTGGTCCAAACATGAACATATAAAACACTACCACATCAATTGATATATTACAAGATTGAGATAATAAGTTAGCTAGTGTCTTCAGTTCTGTTCTTATTATTATCACATCATGTCATCGGACTATTAGTGTCTCTAGTACTGTTCTTATTATCATCACATCACACCATTGAACTAGCTACTATTATCACATCATGTCATCGAACTACTATTGCTTTCCTAAAATTATGCTCACTAGTTCTAGACGACATTGTGTGCGGCAATACCATTTACAATAATAATTGGGGAAAATTTGGGAATGAAATTATATGAACATAAATAGGAATCAAGTACACTAGTATCCACGGACTAACTAGGCAGCTCGTCTTGTTGTACGATCAAAGTGTCGCAGAGGGGGTGTTGGGTAGACCCAATTTTGTAGGGATAAAATTGCACAGTCGAGCATCACGTAGTCACAAGTGGGGTTTATGTATTACAATATTTGGATGGTTTTGATGATCCCATGGCCCTATATACATGTGATTACATGTTACAGGTTGGCCTTATGTGTTCTAATCACATCCATGCACCATGCAAATATGTGCAATGTAGCTAGAATGAAGGGTACGTATGTGGTCCTTGCAAGGGGAAATAGTTAATCTCTAAACCCTAAACCCTAAATTCTAATTTATGTGTATCTTTATTCGTTCATTTGTTCAATTATAAGGTCCCAAATAATTATGCGTATGCAAAAGAAGAAAATGAGCGTGCGATAATAACTTTCCCACAAAATTCATGTTTTACTGCTGTTTGTCGTTCTTGATCTTTGAACTCAGTGTGTTTTTAATTTGTAACAAAATAGAGACTGAATATCATTAGATCATTTGATTATGTATATGTGCATATTAACATGATTCTTAACTTCTTAATTTTGAGCAACATTATAATATAATAACAAGAAAGTTTTCATCATAAATATGTTTATGTGTAAAGAGCGAATGAATTAATTATATGATGAGTTTATATTATCGGAATATGATTCTCTTCCCTTCAAATTTTCTCATTTTCCTTCTCTTCTCTCTCACTTTCCTCGTTTTCTTTCTCTCTATAAAAAAATTATTAAAAGATGTTGATTTGATTTAATCGTAATCTTTCAAATAAAAAGAGACTGAAGGAGAGAAAATTTAAAATGAAGAGAATCGTTGTCCTATATTATCATCATCAATGGATCGAGGTTTGGCCGTCAAATTAGTAAGAACTGGGGATCCACGTGCATGAATATGATTAAGGCACCAAACGAAGTGGAAACTCATTAAATAAATAATTTGAAACAAATTCCAATCTTTGTTAGATGCTGATCAAATTAATTAAGATCAAAGACAGGATGTGAAAGGAATTGAAATCAAACTTGTTGATCGAATAGGTTTGGTTAGGTAAAGGTTCTTGTCTATATGGTCAGTCTCCCACACGTTTTAATTAATTAACTAAAATGCATATGACATAATATATGTCGTCAACGAATTAAACTAAAAATTGATAAGGAGAACTAATAAAAAGTTCTTCACAAAACTTCTTTGGAAATTTTATTTGAACCCTAAAAACTTCTTTTCACACCCAACTTAAATATTTTTGCTAATAAACTCTCCACTTTAGCCCTAAATTAATGTGAGAGAAGAAGAATATACTGAAAGGAGATGAACCCATATCAGCCCCACCAACGCCCGTTGCTTTCCGGCATCTTCTTCACTGATGCGGGTAAATTTTTTTTTTGTCAGCATCTTCTCTTTTCAGGCTCTTTTCCGTTCTCTCTGTTTCCATCCTATATTCTCTTCCTCCTCCTCCTCTTTATTGCTCACTTCCTTCAACCGACAAATGCCGAAAGCAAATCGGGGCCTACACAGTTTTTGAGCGCTATAGAGTCGGCGACGTGGAGAATCACAACCAAGGGTACCTATGTGTTGTATGGAAGGCGTTAGATGTCAAAGCTTGTGAAAGGTAAATGGGCTGCCATGGAAGGCAGAAGTTGCCTTGAAAAATCACCAGCAAATCTTTGGTGGGGTTTGAGGTGGAAGTGACAGTGAGTGTAAAAAAGACATTTTTCTTTTGTTTTTTGTTTTTCAGTTTTATACAAGGGTGAACTAGGAATTTGAATAAAATATTTTTAGAATTGGGTGTAAAAAGAGGTTGAATGAGTTTTAATAAAATTTCCCTTCTTTTTATAAAAAAAAAAAACACTTAAACAACATTTCTTATTATTAAGGACAATTTTTGTATTATAAGAACACAAAATAAAAGAGTCACACTTCAAAAGAATTTTGAATTAAAGAAAATATTTTTAATAATAAACAAGTGTCTTTAATAATAAAAAAAAAGTGTCTTAATTACAAAGAAAGTTGTCTAAGTGTAACAACCCGTCCTTAATTTTCTATGTAATTTTCTCTCAGAGTGTGTAAATTGACGTTTATACCCTTGTTGGCAAGGTGACGTGGACATAGTTCTTCGGCTTTAAATTATTTTTCTCGTTATCATAATTTAATAGTACTCGTTGTTACGATCGTGTGAGCGCGAGTTAGACCCGAAACGGTTTTGTGACGAAAAAATTACATTTAGTTAAAGTACGTAAACAACGGGTATAATTGTACACGTGTGCGTTAATTATTTAGTACTGGAAGCTACTGTTTTTCATAGGGTACATTAGATTTCGTTTGATTTCAAATTGTACAAATCTTATCACTTTTTTTCCTTTTTTAAAAGTGTGTCCCGTGACCACACTTCACCACCAATCATATCATTTTCCCACATCCTTTCACCCAATCAGACAACACCCTCTCTCTTCTTTCTGTCCAATCATAACATTTCCTCTCTCTCTCTCTCTCTTCTTCTTCTTCTCTCCCTCACCCATCACTCTCTCTTCTTTGCAACAACAAGGACCATCACCAAACCTTGCAGATCGATCCTCAAATTACCACCATTGTGCTCCCCTCATCCTCACGAACCCATCCGTACAAACTGATCATGAAATGATCAAGTTTTGAGTGTCCAACTTGGAGCTTCGACTTGGGTGGAGTTTTCCCCGAAGTTTTTTCATTCGAGTTACAAGATTTTGGAGTTTTGGAAGCATCTAGGCAACTCCTCGAGGCCATTAGCCTAGTTTTGAAGTGGTGCAAACGAGGAAACCCACGGGTTTGAGACAACAAAAGTAGGACTGAGAGTCTTGAGTCTATTTTGATCCATTTCCATCCACCTTTTGGACTTTTAAGAGGTACAAACTTGTTCTCCTCTTCCTGGGCTTCATTTCCATATAAAGTACATTGAAAATGATTGAGAAATGAAGAAGTTATGAGGTTTTGAAAATTTTCCAGAAATCAGTGAACCAGACGGTGGAGGTTAAGACGTCGTTAGGTAACACCGTTAGATTTAATGGAAATATTTCGTCAAATATGACGGAATATTCCCTAGGGTTCTGTCAGTCTGTTAGGCGCGTGGCCTGCGCGTGTGGCCGCGACTTGGTGGCGCATTCGGCCATCGGCCAGTGTGTGCTTGGCGTGTAAGGGTCCGCGACGTCGAGTAAAATATTTTTGTATATTTAAACCTCCATTTGAGCAAACTATGGGGGATTTTCCTAGCTTTTTTGTGTAGGTCCTAATTAATTAATTAGTAAAGTTATTTCACTTATAGGTGAGACTTACCTCGAAGAGGTACGAGGACAAACAAGGCGCATGCTCACCTTGGATCCATTGTAGATGCCAGTCATGTTGTACATGTTGGATTAGGCAACTCCGACTCGTATGTGATGTGCCTAGCGCCAGTCTTCATGTGATTGTAGTACTAGAGCTTATGTTATGATTACACCTAGTCTTGTTCATGTCAGATTCCCTTTGCATGAACTCGTGTGTTAGTATAGATTGATGAGCACCTGATTTTATTATGATACTGTTGTGATATTATGATTAGCGTATTTCTGGATTTATTGTTGATTTACAGTTGTTTTCATACTTATATGTAGCATGATTTTTCTAGAAACTATACATGTTTTACAGCGAGAGGTTAGTATGCTCAAAAAATAAATATGTTTTATAAACCTTAGTTTTTGCCTACTCACCCTTCTGTTTTTCGCCAATCCAGGACTTATATAGCTGATTACTCTGTGGCGTACGAGGAATATCTGGCAGTTCTGACATACTCCTAAATAAATGTAAGGGCTTTTCCAGGTTATGTATTAAGTACTTTAACTAGTTTTGACTGCACACTTTTATGTCATCTACGCTCTGAACACTTATGTTTTATGGATTTCTTCCCACTACTCCACACTCGCTACTTTAGATTAAATAAATGTTAGTTTTGGTTTAAATTTATCCATATTTTTATGCTTCACTTTTCTTTTTGGTTACGTCACCTTCGGGTGACGGCTAACATGCATCGACTCCGATCGGGGTGTGTGTCACATCCCAGCCCGAGCCCCCACCACATCCGGCTCGACTCTATCGTAGCACGATATTGTCCGATTTAAGCCCCGACCACGCCCTCACAATTTTGTTTCTGGGAACACACGAGAACTTCTAGTGGGTCACCCATCCTGGGATTGCTCTCGCGCGAACTCGCTTAACTTCAAAGTTCATACGGAACCCGAAGCCAGTGAGCTCCCAAAAGGCCTCGTGTTAGGTAGAGATGAGAATATACATATAAGGCTTATAGGATCCACTTCCCTGTGCGATGTGGGATGTTACAATCCACCCCCTTAAGGGCCCGACGTCCTCGTCAACACATATCCGGCCAAGGATTGGCTCTGATACCAAATTGTCACATCCTGGTTCGAGCCCCCACCACATCCTGGACTCGACTCCATCGTAGCACGATATTGTCCGCTTTGGGCCCCGACCAAGCCCTTACGGTTTTGTTTCTGGAAACTCACACGAGAACTTCCCAGTGGGTCACCCATCCTGAGATTGCTCTCGCACGAACTCGCTTAACTTCAGAGTTCCTACAGAACCCAAAACCAGTGAGCTCCTAAAAGGTCTCGTGCTAGGTAGAGATAGAAATATACATATAAGGCTTAGAAAATCCACTCCCCTGAACGATGTGGAATGTTATAGTGTGTCACTAAGAGTTTTTAAATAAAAAATTTGTGAGGAATTTTTATTAACTTTCTAAAAAAATTAAATACGAATTTTAAATAACTTAAGCAAAAGAATAGTCTTAATAAGTTAACCAAAGAAACGAGGGCATCATACCACATTAATACATACTTAAATAATAAAATAGTACAGTTTATAATAGTTGCATTCTCCTTTTAGGAATGAGTTCATTATATCCTTACGAAGAACATATCTTGACGGTACAAATTTCATAATCGGAGCCGTTTAGTCTTTTAATTTTCAATTGAATATCATTCATACAAAAAAATCATTTCAAGCGGATATCATTTAGTCATATGAATGTATTGAACAAATTAACAGTATAGGTACCAAGTAACATGTTCATGATAAACCGTTTATTATTTTGATATATTTGATTGATTAAACGATCTTCCATTCAAATGATTTTTCGTAGAAATAATTTTCCAATGAAAATTAATAAATTGAAAATTTTTGATTTGGTATCATTCGTAAATGAGGGCATATAAGGATCTCCACATAGGGATGCAAGTATTAACTTTTAAGAATTCAATCCCACTGATCAAACGAAGAATTCCAAAAGCTTAAAACGCATGCCAGCACTTTGGTGGGGTTGCAAAAGAGGCAATCCTTTGTTTTATTGTATAATATCGTTGTCAGTTGTCACACTAATTAAATTATTAAGATGGATTATTATATTTTCCATGTGGGAGTGAGGAACTAGGGTAGGAAGGGTCCAAATATGATTGTTCCACGTGTCGCGATGTCATTGTCACGATAAAGGGGCATCGTGTTGGACTAGGTGTGTAATTGATGATGGTAACTATAGGTGTTTAGGTTTGTGCATGTGTAATCAGATCTTTTTTGAACCCAAAGGAATTGAGCCTATTCATCAAATGATCCGGATCATTGAAATTTAATCTAATAGCTACAAACAGGAAGTCCTCTAAAAGTTATAATAATTGTAGCCGTTTGATCAAATTTCAATGATTCAGATCATTTGATCGTTGGACTTAATTCCTTTGAGTCTTGAGAGGATCCAGTTCCTATGCATGTAACACTAATTATGGCTACTTTGATTAATTTGTTTGGAAATCAAGCAAGTTGCTGGCAAGTTACTTTGTCAAATCAGAATTGCTATTGTCTTTTCGAGTTTCTGTTTTTACAGTTATGTTAAGATTCGTGTTGTGCCGTGCGATAAATTTTCTAATGAAATCGGGAACTTTGGTAAAATGTTAGGAAGTTACGTTGAATGAAAGAATGTAATTGCCAAGAACCTCCGCATTGACGAAGGGTGGGACAGGAGAATTCGTGGGTAACTATCTACAAGTCAAGGTCAAATGACATGAAGTGTCAATAAAGTAATTGTGACACCCAAGAACCGAGTGTGGAATATTAAGATGGATAATGGATGGGCCTATGCCCTATTCATCTATAGTAGTAGAGGGAGATCGAGATTTTCTCCAGATTTTATACTCTAGATCTTGCAGGTCAGATAATTCGGATTATTCAAGAAATAGAGATATTTGGGCATTGAAGATCGAAATTATGTGTAAAGTAGACCAGTAAAATGAGTCAATAGGACAACACAATTTAAATTAAACAGTTCGGATTACTCGATAAGTGAAAAATAATTTGGAATGCCTTTGTGAATAATTGAGCCGACTAAAGGCCTTCAACAATGTCCCCCACTTTGCCCTAATAATACTCTTAATTCAAATCTAATCATAATACCGAATATCAGTTCCCTACAAACTAAACTAGAACTCAATTCCATGGAAAAATACAAATCCCATAGGTCCCTAGGTCTCATCCTATGCCTACTCTGCTGCAATATCTGCATGCAATATCAACGTCATATCTTTTATTCATAAAATTTGAACTCAATATCTTTTTTAGTAAAGTAAAGAAAAATATCACCAAGCTAAATAGTCGTATTAAAAAAAATAAAAAAAAAAAAAATAAAAAAAACAGAGTTTAATGTGCACGCTTAGAATTGGTCATAAAATTCGAGAAGCAATTGTGCAGTCCGTATTTTCTACCGTAGTAGTACTCATTTTATATTTTCTAACATCTAAATTGGAGAAATCACAATGAATTCAAGTGCAGTGGAGAAAGAGAAAGCGGGAGTGGAAGAGGGAAACGCAACATCATTTCTTAGTGGCGAAGACCTCTGGGAAATAAAGTTGATCATCTTGGTGAGACATGACTCAGTTTTCACTTTTGAAAGTCCCTTTTCTTTTTTAGCCTTTTTTGGCATAGGATGGGATCCTTTCTCAAATGGTGGACGAATCTTATACAAAAAGAAACTGCTCTACTAAGGTCTTTATTTTAGAGACTTAAGGCTATCTTCAACGGTAGGGTTTATGTTTAGCTTCTGTCCAGATTATAGCTCTATAAAAAATTATTTTTTAATAAACAGTGCCAGGTTATATATATATAACTCCAACCGAAGGTAGCTATTCTTTAGCCCCGTCAATAATTTATTATTTTAAGTTTGTTCTTTAATTTTATCAGTTAATTGAATTAAACTACCATATTAAAATAAGGTTTCCAGACATATTTTGAGGGTCACTTGTCGCTAAATGTTATTTTAAGTTTCATGTTATTAAATTTTTTAATTTTACTTGCATGTTAACAACTTAGACATTAAAATGAGGTAAGATTGTAAGGGTGAAAAGGATGTGAGAAATTGTGTAAAAATGGCTTTAGGTAAAAAATTCTAATTTTTTAATTTCTTTTAAAATTTCATCTTTAAAAAAAATAAAAAATAAAAAATAAAAACTACATGACGTCAGCTAGTAACACAGCTGGGCCCAACTTTCAGGGCTGGCTATATTTTGGCCCGATGGGTTTCAAATTTTTTTGGCCCAACCCTCCATTGAAGATGGATTTTGTGTCAAATCGGACTATGTTTTAACCTATAGCACTTTAGCAGGCTCGATTGGAGATGGCCTAAGAGGTCCTTTATCAACCCTCAGATTAATCTTGTTAATTAAGCTATTAACTTAAAAAATCCATGTTACACAAAAACAAAAAACTAATTGACAAAACAAAAACCAAAAAGAAATGAATAATAGAAAAGAACATTTCACATCATGTCGAATTCCTTCCACTTGCAAAACCAAAGCTCTTCATTGAATATCTAAACCCAGGAGAAGAGCAATGGTGCAAGCAATCGATAGAGGGGGAGGAAGGGGATGTGGAGGAGAAAGTCAGCAAAGGAAGAAGACAGAATGTTTCACGCGAGACTAGTATATTAAAAACACTTCATTAATAAGTACATTTTTTTAGTTCAAACCCCTCACGAAGTGTGATTCTTTTGTTTTTTGTCCTTGTAATATAAAAATTGTCCTCGTTAATTAAAAAAATAGTTGTCTAAAACGTTTTTCGATAAAAGAAATTTTGTGAGGAACATTTTACGAGTTCTACGTAGATTTATTTTGGAATTGATTTACTCTGAACGGTTAAAAATTAACTTGACAAAAAGTGAGTATTTGTATTACAACATAGATCACTAAGTGTGTATCAAAGCGGTACAAGCAGAGCAAACATATCATATTTCTCGGAAAAACACCGGCACCAGAATCTCAATGTCAGGAGGGTGGGTGGCTTCCCATCCAGCAATAACTTGGTAATAACAATTGAGATAGAGCCTAAAACTTGAAGTCCCTCTTCTTGTTTTTCCCTTCCTTGTCTTGCTTACGTTTCCTCTTCTTCTCGTTCTGCACCAAAAACCCGACTCATTACAGTTTCTTAAACGCGTCGAGTAAAGGAAAAAAACAACAACAAAGATATAGACAAGGCACACACCTCTGCGACCATGTCACTGAAATCTTCCTTCTGACTTCGCAGCTTCTCCTCCTCCCTTGCTTCTTCGTACCTGTTAAATGCGACACACTAGTTATAAGCTATCTGCTGCTGCTAAGGCACATTGTAAAAGTAAAGTTCAATTTTTTCATGTCTCGGACTTACTTTGCAGGCAAAACGGTCTCCATATCATCCAATTCTTCGGGTTGTATAGTGACCTCCACTTTGTCTGCTTTCTGACCTCTAAGCAGCTCAACCTAAGAGAACAATGACAAATCATTCAATAATACACAATCAAGACAGAGATTATAGTATGAAGGGATGGATACATCGGACTTGCTTATAGAGCTCATAAAGCAAAAAAATTCATGCAGTCTTT